TGGAGTTAATGACGCAGGAGCAGATTAGTTTCAGTTCATTCATTCATTCATTTTCATCTGCTTTTCCAGGGCCAGGTCGTGGGCGCAGCAGTCTCACACTTCCCTCTTTACAGACACTTCTTCCAGCTCCTCCGGGTGGATCCAAAGGGGTTCCCAGGCCAGCCGAGAGACATAGTCCTCCAGCATGTCCTGGGTATTCCACGAGGCCTCTTCCCGGTGGGACACCTTCCTAGGTAGACGTCGAGGAGACATCCAAAACAGATGCCCCAGCCACCTCAGCTGACTTCTCTTAGGCCGTACTCACACTAGGTACAGTTGCCTCGAACCGGGCCAAAGCACGCTTGTCCCCCCTCCCGTCTCCCCCGACGGCCCGCGCTCACACCATATCGGGCCTCGGCACGCTTACGTCATCGCTGCTGCGCTGTTCAGAAGCGCTCTCTATGGCAAGCCTTTTTAGCATTTAAATCTTTGTTCTGTCTCCATAAATATATTTCGAGATATCTCTAATTATATTTTGACTAGTCATAATTATAATTTGACTAGTCAGAATAACAATTAGAGATATCTGCAATTACAATTGTACTAGTACGAAATCAGATTGGAGATATCTGCAAATATATTATGACTGACTAGTCATATTCCTCCATTGACTTCCATTGAAAAATATTTGCAGATATCTCTAAATGAGTTTTGACTAGTCACAATTGTAATTAGAGATATCTCTAACTGAGTTTTTACTAGTCATAATACATTTGGAGATGTCTTTAATTCATCATATTTAGAGATATTTACAAATATATTTGAAGATATCTCTAATTAATTTACTAATAGTCGAATCACAGTTGTAGATATCTTGAATTGGATTTTTGACGAGTCAAAACTCATTTAGAGATATCTGCAAATATTTTTCAATGGAAGTCAATGGAGGAATATGACTAGTCATAATATATTTGCAGATATCTCCAATCTGATTTCGTACTAGTACAATTGTAATTGCAGATATCTCTAATTGTTATTCTGACTAGTCGAATTATAATTATGACTAGTCAAAATATAATTAGAGATATCTCTAAATATATTTATGGATAGTCAGAACAAGGTTTAAATGCTAAAACGGCTTGCCATACGCTCTCACTCAGCAGCACAGTGGAGATTTCTCTAGTTATATCGTTTCAGTCGTTTGATATGCCGTCAAATATTTCGCCAAACAGTCCTTAGGGATGAGGGGACACGAAGTCAGATATTTCGCCGAACAGATCCGCCACTTTTGGCACTCATAAACAATCATTAAGCTCTCGTGCTGCAGGAATGAGGAGGTTTGCTGAAGGCGCGCAGCTGGCGTGCTGTGAGGGGTTTGCGTCTTTAATAAACTACGGCAGTTTGCGTTCACTGAACAGTAAGAATGATTAATAAATCCATATCAAACAGACCCTTAAATGTCACGTCTCGCTTTCGGTTTCGGGCTTTGGCGCGTTTTGTACTCACACACAAGCGTACCGCGCCAAAGCCCAAGTGTACCGCGCTCAGGCACACCTCTCCCAACCGGGCCAGGGCCGGCCAAGTGAACCGTGCTTGAGCGCGATTCAGCGCACTCACACTTCTCAAACGAGGCCTGGGCACGGTACGGATGGCATAGTGTGAGTAGGCCCTTAATGTGGAGGAGCAGCAGCTCTACCCCGAGCTCCTCCCGGGTGACAGAGCTCCTCACTCCATCTATAAAAGTGCGCCCTGCCGCCCTGTGAAGGAAACTAATTTTAGCTGCTTATATCTGAGATCTTGTCCTTTCGGTCATGACCCAAAGCTCATGACCATATGTGAGAGTAGGAACGTAGATTGACTGGTAAATCGGGAGCTTTACCTATCGGCTCAGCTCCTTCTTTACCACAACGGACCGATACATCGACCGCATTAGTGTTGCAACCTGTCAATCAATCCACCTGTCAATCTCACGTTCCCTCCTTCCCTCACTCTACATAGAGTTTCATGGGAGAAATTTCACTTCTTGAAATGTAAACATGTATATGGGGAAGACATTTATTGTCTCAATCAATGGTGTGTATCATGGGATAGGTTTACATAATCGCTGGTCAATCAGTGCGTTTTAACGGGCACCTATGGTGAAAAATCTTTGTTTCAAGCTGTTTGGACAGACATCTGTGTAGGTATAGTGTATAGGCCGTCATATCGGGGTGATAAAAACACACTCAGTCCTTTTTTTTTATTTAGCAACATAAAAATGGTGGACCAATTGGAGCGGTTTTCAGACCGATCGCAACTTGACGTAGGAGTGCGGTCCCCCTGCCCATCGAATTGATTGACAGGCGCGTATTAACATGTCCCGGTAGTCAAGTGTATAATCATATCAACAAGACAGGACGTGAGCAAAGCAAACGGGAATAAAAGGTCTGATCAGTTTGCTAGGATCATCAATCATCATCAAATGTGATCAAGAGTGAGTCTCACAAGTTTAAAATGTTTTAAAACAGTGCATTTGTGTAAT